CTGGGCACTCCTGGTGAACTTTGGTTGGCAAAGACTGTGTGCCAACATGAACCTAGTCTCATATTCTACTTGGGTGCAAGTCTGCCAGTCTCACCTAGTGACCACAGCCCTGTGTTTTCTGGTGTTTTGCAGTCCTCTGATATGCCCTGTTACAGCCCAGAGGATCATAGATCCCAGGTAAGTGTAATGATCATTGCTACTGCCTTCCCCATCAAAAGGACAATGCCTTCATGTTTTGGTGTCAGCATCCTAATCACACTCATGTCTTGATTTAAGATATGAAATTAACCAAATACCTTAAGGGAAGGTCAAATGTCAGTGTATTTTCCCATATAAATTTTGACATTTACATGGGTAAAAGAATTGCTTTTTATCCCACTTACTCTTACTCACATAATTATCAGCTACCCCTCCTGGTTAGATGAAACCTCATTCCTGAGAGTGGGGTTCTATCTTGGGTGATCGCAGTGACAGGTCGTACAGGAATCCTAAAGTGACTTTGAAGACATGGCAGAATTTTCCCTTTTCAATCAATGGGGACCCAGGGAACAGAGACTTGATTAGTGAGAGAGAAGTTGTCTCCAGATTTCCAGGATGGGAGGCCTCCACATCCTGTCTTTCCAAAAGGCAAATCTACTGTCAAATATTTTAAAAACTCTCACTCCACGGGCTAGCCTTCTGTGTGCATGAGTTGAGGCTTTTTGGGTTGCCTTGGTTCCAGCAACTTCCATATTTACTTTAGAGTGTTTCATGTTGGTCTTACTAATTTTTAATGCATTCAAAAAAGAAGTTTCACTACCTTCAGGAAACAAATGTCTACCTAAAACTTCATTCAAGGCACAGGTGATTTCAGGAACCGAATGGCAATGTCATTTCTGGAAACACTTCCCATACTGAACTCAGAAACATGGTTCACTTTCTCAGTATAGAGATATGGCAAGGTATTATACCTCACAACAAATGGATCATGAGCACAGCATATGACATGCTCTGCTTTGCCCCTGGTTCAGTGAAGAGTACAGGAAAGAGCATTGCACTCTCAGTGTGCTTAAGAAGGAGATGAGTGAACTCTACCTTCAAATTTAATGAGATACTCTGTGTTTCTTCAAAAAGACTCTAAATCTCTAAGAAGTTGACTTTTTGTGGTACTTTTTATGTGAATTGCTGATCACAATCTGAATGTTGGACCCTTCCCAATTGCTTGGCATAGGGTGAATATGATCTGCCTACTGCTTCGAAGTGAGTAGTCAGCCTGAGTTAGAATGCATTTCTCCTGTGTGATTTCATAGACTTTTCCACCAAGTCAGCAAAAAGCCTTGTGCATGCTCTTTCCAGTAGGATAGAAGAGGCAGCTGCAGTTGGGATTCTGCTCAATGGAATAATTCCTGAATATATCTTACAAAGATTCTGATCTCTTAAATAGTTTAGTAATGATGGGAAGTTTAAGTACCATCACAGCTTCCTCTTTCTTCCTTTAGGGAAGACATACTTCTACTTTTCAAGCTAGTACTCCCTTGCATCCCTTGGTGAGCATTCAACCCTGCTGGCCTCCACTCTCACATGGGAACACAAAGATTTTCATGGTATTCAGGAAACTAATGACTACCCTAACATTTGATTTAGGACATACCCGAGTTTCATGAACCGAGTTGCAGTGTCATTCCTGGAAACATTTTCCATACTAAACTCAAGAACCTGGTTCACCTTCTCAATATAGAGACATGGCAATGAATTATACCTAACAACAAACTGATCATGAGCACAGCATATGACATGCTCTGCTTTGCCCCTGTTTCACTGAAGGGTTCATGTATGTGCATCACTCTCAGTGTAATTAAGAAGGAGATGAGTGAACTCTACCTTCAAGTTCAATGAGGAATCTCTGGGTTCCTTCAAGAAGACTGTAAATCTCCAAGAAGTTGCCCATTTATTGTACTGTTTATATGAATTGCTGATCTCGATCTGTGTGTTGGACCCTTCCCAATTGCTTGGCATAGGTCATATATGACCTGGCTACCACTTAAGTGGGAGTAGTTAATCTGGGTTCTAACGAATTTCTCTTGTGCGATTTCATAGACCTTCCCACCAAGTCAGCAAAAACCCTTGTGGATGCTCTTCAAAGTAGGATAGAAGAGGCAGCTGCAGTTGGGATTCTGATGAATGGAATTATTACTGAGGATCTCTTACAAAGATTCTGATCTCTTAAATAGTTTAGTAATTTTGGGAAATGAAGTGCCATCACAGCTTCCTCTTGCTTCCTTTAGGGAAGACATTCTTCTACTTTTCAAGCTAGTACTCCCTTGCATCCCTGGCCGAACATTTGACCCTACTGGCCTCCCCACTCACATGCCAACACTCCTACGTCTCAAGCACTTTCTGCAGGCCTAGTAAGCACTGAAGTTGAGTGATATAAAAGCAAAAGTAGTTTTGTTCTGTCTAGGCTTGGGTCAATGATGACTTCCCAATGTCATGAAGATAGGTGATGACAATGCAAAATAAAATTAATGTGGGAATAAGCTGAAGCCCTATCAGGAGTACCATGTTACACATGGTTCTTTACATCTTTGGTGACCCCTTGGGGACTTCCCTGAGGTCCTCTGAAGCCCTTTTCCTGTGTCCCTTAAGAGGAAACCTGAACACTCCTGGTGAACTTTTGTTGGCAAAGACTGTGTGCAACAACAAGCTAGTCTCACATTGTACTTGGATGAAAGTCTGCATGTCTCACCTATTGATCACAGACCTGTGTTGTCTGGTGTTTTGCTGTCCTCTGATATCCCCTGTTACAGCCCAGAGGATCATAGATCGCAGGCAACTGTAATGATCATTGCTTCTGGCTTCCCTAAGAAATGGACATGGACATTGCCTTCATGTTTTGGTGTCAGCATCTTTTTTTAAGATTTATTTATTTATTATATGTGAATACACTGTAGCTGTCTTCAGACACACCAGAAGAGAGCATCAGATCTCATTACAGATGGTTGTGAGCCACCATGTGGTTGCTGGGATTTGAACTCAGGACCTCTGGCAGTGCAATCAGTGCTCTTAACCACTGAGCCATCTCTCCAGCCCTGGTGTCAGCATCTTAATCACTCTCAGGTCTTGATTTAAGATAAGAAATTAACCAAATACCCTAAGGGAAGGTCAATTGTCTGTGTATTCTGCCATGTAGATCTTAAGATTTACATGAGGAAAATATTGGCTTTTATCCCAATTATTATTACTCACATAATTATCAGCTACCCATCGTTGTTAGAAGAGGATAACTCATTATTCATAGTGGGGTTCTCTCTTGGTTGATCACAGTGACAGGAGTTACAGGAACTCTAAAGTGTCTTCGAAGTCATGGCAGACTTTTCTCTTTTCAATACATGGAGACCCAGGGCACAGAGCCTTGATTAGTGAGAGAAAAGTTGTCTCTAGGTTTCCAGAATGAGTCGCCTTCACATGGTATCTTTCCAAAAGGCAAAACTACTGTCAAATATTTTAAAAACTCTCACTCCACAGGCTAGCCTTCTGTGTCCATGAGTTGAGGCTTTATGTGTTGCCTTGGTTCCAACAAACTTTCGTATTTACTTTGCACTGTTTCATGTAGCTCTTTCTACTGTTCACTCCATTCAACAAGAATTTTCACTGGACTCAGGAAACAATAGCCTACCTTAAAAGTTGTTTTAGGACATATCCAATTTTCATGAACCTAATGGGAATGTCATTTCCGGCAACATTCCCCCTACTAAACTCAGGAACTTGGTTCACCTTCTCAGTATAGAGGTATGGCAAGGAATTACACCTTAAAACAAATGGATCATGGCCAGAGCATTGGACACTCTCTGCCTTGCTGCAGGATCAGTGAAGAGTTCAATAAAAGAGTTGCTCACTCAGTATACATAAGCAGGTTAGTCTGTGGAGGGGAATGAACCCTACCTTCAAATTCAACAGGAAAAACCTGGGTTCCTTGAAAGAGAGTCTAAGTCTCTAAGAAGTTGTCATCTTATGGTACTGTTTATACAAATTGCTGACCTCAATCTGAGTGTGGGACCCTACCCAATGGCTTGGCATAGGGCATGTATGATCTGGCTACTGCTTCAGAGGGATCAGTAAGTCTTGGTTGGAATGCAATTTTCCTGTATGATTTCATAGCCCTTCCCACCAAGGTCACACACACACACACACAAAATAAAACCTTGTGGATGTTATTCACAGTAGAATAGAAGAGGCAGCTGCTGTTGGGATTCTGCTCAATGGAATTATTCATGAGGAGCTCTTACACAGATTCTCTCCACTTAAATAGTTTAGTAATGATGGAAAAGTGCCTTCAAAGCTTCCTCTTTCTTCCTTTAGAGAAGACATTCTCCAACTTTTCAAGCTAGTACTCCCTTGCATCCCTGGCAGGGCAATCAATCCTGCATTTCTCCCCATTCACATGGGAACACTCCTACATCTCAAGCACTTTCTGCAGGCCTGGTAAGTGCTGGGGTTGTGTGATATAAAAGCATAGGTAGCTGTGTTCTGTCTAGGGTTGGGTCAATGATGACAACCCAATGTCATGAAGATAGGTGATGACAAAGCAAAATCATACTCAATGGGAATATGCTGAGGCCCTACCAGGAGGACAATGTTAGATGTGGTCCTCTAAATGTTTGGTGACCCCTTGGGGACTTTCCTGATGTCCTCTGAAGCCCTTGTCCTGTTTCTATTGAGTGGAAACCTGGACACTCCTGAAGAACTTTTGTTGGCAAAGACTGTGTGCCAACAAGAACCTAGTCTCACATTCTGCCTTTATGCAAGTATGCAAGTCTCACCTAGTGATCACAGCCCTGCCTTTTCTGTTTTTGTTTGTTTGTTTGTTTGTTTTTTGTTTTTGTCATCAGACGTGCCCTGTTACAACCCAGAGGATCATAGATCTCAGGTAAGTGTAATGATCATTGCTACTGCCTTCCCTTAGAAATGGCCACTGCCTTCATGTTTTGGTGTCAAAATATCAGCCAGTCTCATGTCTTGATTTTAGGAAAGAAACTATTCAAATACACCAAGGGGTCATCAATTGTCAGTGTCTTCTACCATGTACCTCTTGATTTACAGGTGGAAAAGAATTTTCTTAAATCACAATTATTCTTTTCCACATAATTTGAGCTACCCATCTTGGTTACAAGAGGATAACTCATTCCTGATCCTGGGTTTCTGTCTTGGTTAATCACATTTGCAGGAGTTATAGGAACTCTACAGAGCCTTCCAGGCTTGGCAGACTTCTCTCTTTTCATGACATAGAGACCCAGGGGACAGAGCCTCCATTAGTGAGAGTGAAGTTGTCTCTAGATTTCCAGTATAAGAGGCCTCCTCATGATGTCTTTCCAAAAGGCAAAACTACTGTCAAATATTTTTAAAATTCTCACTCCACATGAAGGTCTTTCGTGTGGATGTGTTGAGGTTTTATGTGTTGCCTTGGTTCCCACAAACTTTCATGTTTACTTTACACTGTTTCTTGCATCTCTTTCTAATTTTCACTGCATTCAACAAAGAATTTTTAGTACACTCAGAAAACAAATGCCAACCTTGGAAGTTGTTTTAGGTCAAACCAGATTTGAAGAAATCAAAGCTCACAGTCATTCATGATGACATGTTCCCTACTAAACTCAGGAATATGGTTCACCTCCTCAATATAGAGACATGGGAAGTTGTTATACCTTAAAATAAATTGATCATAGGCAGATCATTGAACAATCTCTTCTGTCCCCCTGACTCTGTCAACAGTTCAAGTAGCAGCATTGCACACTGAGTGTAAACATGCAGGACAGATTTTGGAATGAAATGAACCTTCCTTTCAACTTGAATTAGGAAAACTTGGTTTCCTTTTAATATACGCTAAGAATCTCCAATAAGTTGCCTGTTTATTGTACAGTTTGTATGAACTTGTGATTTCAATCTGAGCATTGGACCCTAGCAAATGCCTTAGAAAAGGTCATAAATGATCTGGCTACTTCTTTTGAGAGAGCAGTAAGAATGTGTTGGAATGCATTGGTCCTGTGTGATTTCATTGACCTTTTTTCAAATATAGTAAAAACAAAACTTGACGGTGCTCTTCACAGTAGGATAGTAGAAGCAGTTACAGTTGGGATTCTGCTCAATTGAATTATTCCTGGAGAGCTCTTACACAGTTTCTGTCACCTAAAATAGTTAATTAATGTTGGGGAATCAAGTGCCTTGACAGCTTGCTCTTTCCTTCTCTAGGATAGACATTCTTCAACATTTGAAGCTAGTACTACCTTACATCCCTGGCAGAGCATTTGACCCTGCAGCCCTTCACACTCACAATGTGAACATTCCTACTTCTGATGCACTTTCTCCAGGGATGTAAGTGCTGGGGTTGTGTGATATCAAAGCATAGGTAGCTGTGTTGTTCTAGGCCTGGATCAATGATGACAACCCAATGTCATGAAGAGATATGATGACATAAAAATCATGCTCAATAGAATTACACTGAGGCCCAACCAGGAGGACAGGATTAGCATTGGTCCTTTAACTCTTTGAGGATCTCTTGGGGACTTTCCTTAGGTCCTCAGAAACTCCTGACCTGTTTCCCATGAGAAGAAACCTGGACACTCCTGGTGCACTCATGTTGGCAAAGACTGTGTGCCAACAAGGACCTAGTCTCACATTCTACTTGAATGAAAGTCTGCAAGTCTCCCCTACTGATCACAGCCTTGTCTTTTCTCATGTTTTTCAGTCATCTGATATGCCCTGGTACAGCCCAAGACTCACAGATCTAAGGTAAGTGTAATGATCACTGCTACTGGCTTCCCTTGGAAATGACAAGTGCCTTCATGTTTTGGTGTCAGAATCTCAGCCACTCTCAGATTTTGATTTTAGGAAAAGAAACTAAGCAAATACACCAAAGGAGGGTCAATTGTTAGTGTCCTCTACAATATAGTCTTCAGATACAGGGGGTAAAACAATTTGCTTAAATCCCAATTATTCATACTCACATAAATATGAGCTACTCATTGTGGTTGCAAGAGTACAACTTATTCATGATTGTAGGATCTCCACCTTGGTTGATCAGATTAGCAGTAGTTACAGGAACTCTACAGAGACTTCCAAACCTTGGTGGACTTTGCTCTTTTCAGTGGAAAGAACCTTGATTAGTCAGAGAGAAGTTGTCTCTAAATTTCCAGTATGGAATGTTTCCACATGATGTTTTACAAAAAACAAATCTACTGGCAAATATTTTTAAAACTCTCACTCCACAGGGAAACTGTCCATGTGGATGAGTTGACATTTTATGAGTTGCCTTGGTTCCCACAACCTTCCAAATTCCCTTACAGGAACCAAATGGCAACATTATTCATGTCAACATATTCCCTTCCAAACTTTGCCTTGGGTTTCTTGTGTCATGGGAAATAATGAACTCTAAACAAGCTTGAAAGCCTGTTTTGAGTTCCGATAACTCTGCAGTGTGGCAAAGAATGATGAATACCCAAATATTGGGAATGAGTCATCCTCTTCTAAGCATGAGGTGCAGCTCATAATTACGTGAGTAAGAATTATCAGAAATTTTTATAAGAAAATTTCTTTACTCCCTATAAATCTTTAGGTATACATGTCAGAAGATACTCACAATGGACTCTCACTGGGTGCATTTAGTTATTTCATTTTTCCTAAAATAAAAACTTGACAACTCAATGTCATGAAGAGAGTTTATGACATAAAAATTATGCTCAATAGGATTACTCCAAACCCCAACCAGGAGGCCAGGGTTACAATCTGTCCTTTTCCTCTTTGTGGACTTCTTGGTGGACTTACCTAGGTCCTCAGATGCCCTTGCCCCGTTTCCTATGAGAGAAAACCTGAACACTCCTGTTGCAACCTTTGTTTGCAAAAACTGTGTGCCAACAAGTACCTAGTCTCACATTCTACCTGTATGCAATTCTGCAAGGGCCACCCATTACTCATTACCCTCTCATTTCTGATGTTTTGCTGTCATTTTTCATGCCCTCTTGGCATTCAAAGAATCATGTATTTCATTTAAGTAACTTAACATAATAAGGGCTGTAAACCTAAAATTAGAGCAAACATACTCAATGGGAAAAGAACTAAAAGCATCACTTGTAAAGTTAGCAAACAAGTATATCTTGTCTCTCCATTCTTTTTCAAAATAATTATTAAATTATTAGCCTGGTTAAATAAGCAATGGAAATAAAGGGTACATTATGTGAAATTACTCAATTCATTCCTATTGCAGACAATATGGACCTATACTTAGTGGGCACTAAAATCTCACCAGAGAGGAAAACCAACTTATCTGATAAATGCTTCTAGTAAAATAGCAAGATATAAAGTCAACACACAAAGGTGTGTCAATAACTTTATAATATATGCATAATGAACATTCTGAGCAAAAAACTGGTCTCATTTACAGGGATGTCATAACATAACAACTAGAAATAAATGTCACCAAGAATGTAAATGAGCTCAACAATGAAAACCTCAAAATACTTCCAAAAGAAATCAAAGACACTAGAAGATAGAGTGGTAGAGTTAATAATGTAAACATAGCTATGTAACTGAATGTGATTCAAAATTTTAATATAATTAATCCCTAGAAAAATTCCAAAGATTTTTGGAAGAATTATTTTAAATATTAAAAACACAGAAATACAAAAACCTATATTGAACCAAAGCAATCCTAGGAACAATCAGCAATGTTGGAATTGTCACAGTATGTAACTTCAAATATAGTATAGAGACATTCTGATAAAATGACATGATATTTAAAACAGACACATGAACAAATATACTAAACAGAATAAAACCCATGATCCCATGCTGTTGTGCCCATCTGGTTTTTTGACATGAGTTTCAAAATTATGCATTGAAGGAAAAAACACCATCTTTAACAATTAGTGCAAGGAAAACTTAATACGTACGTGTACAAGAATTAAACTAGGGCTGAAGAGAAGTTAAGAGCATTGACTGCTCTCCAGAGGAAATTGGTTCAACTCCCAACAACCATGTAACAACTCATAACCATCCATAACTCCATTCCCCAGAGTTCAAATACCCTCTTCTGTTTGCCTTGTGATGCCAGGTAGCCAAGTGATACACAGAGATACAAGGTTGCAAAACACCTATACATTCAAAAATAAAAATTACAAAAAAATAAATAAATTACATTTTTCTCTCTTACCCTGCATAAAAATCCACTGAAAATAGATCAAAGGCTTTATTTAATGTATGACCCAAAGAATTAAAGTGAACTGCACAGTAACACTTCAAGATATAGACAGACAAGAACTTTCTTAGGGTAGGTCAGAAAATTTTAGAAAGAATTACAAAATAAGATTATATTAAGTTAAAACTTCCTGCACAGCAAAAGAGACAAAGCTGTAGAGATTGCTCAGCTGTTTTAGTTACTTACTCACAGAAGAAATAGGTTTGGCTCCACACCGTAGCACACAGATATCTCTAACTGCAATTCCAGGCAATCTGTTGCCTCCAGTTCTCTGCACACACATGGTACACGTACCCTCATAAAGGCTCCAGACATAAAAATCAACAAACAATCAAATAAACAAACTTTTAAAAGTAAAGGTTCATCTTACAAGTGGAAGAAAATCTGTTATTTTTTTTTTTGTATCTGAGAGGAGACTAATATCAAGAATATACAAAATATTATAAATATTAAGCATCAACACCACAAGTAATATGAATTTACCATAAAAGTAAAACAGATCTTTACTGATGAAGCTCAAGTGACCAATAACTACATTAACAATTCTCAGTATTTTTAACCATTAAGGAAAATCAAATCAAAAGATTGGAATTGAATCTTATGCTCATCAGAAAGGCTACCACTAAGAAAAGAAACAGAGCTTCTTGTAGAGATAGTTTGGGTAGTACAGTGTTTATCTTTCAAGCATGAAGATCTGAGTTTGATCAATAAAACTCAAGTACAAAGACATCAGGTGTGGTGGCACAAGCTTGTAATGCCATTTTGGTAGAGGCTGAGACAGGTAGGATCTCTGGGACCCACTGTTCAGATAGTGTAATCTACTATTCCAGGTCAGTGAGAGACTCTATCTCAAAATAAACAAAAAACAAACAAGCAATCAACAACAACCACCACAAAACAAAAAACAAGTGAATAGAAACTTAGGAAAGACACTCAAGGTTGACTTCTAGCCTCCATCTGCATGCACATGGAGAGTAAAAACAGAAAGTACTGAAGAGGATGGGAGGAAAGAAGGACCACTATACATAGTGGAGTGATGCCACTCTTGGAAATGTAATTCAGTATAAAATAGAGATATATGAACATATTTGTCCAGTATGAAACAAATTAAAACAGGTTAATAGAAAAATGGGATTTTCTTCAAACATGAAGAGTGAAATGAACACATTTATGAAAAAATATTCTCTCTCTCTCTCTCTCTCTCTCTCTCTCTCTCTCTCACACACACACACACACACACACACACACACATACACACACACACACACACATACACACACACATACATGAATAGCATGGAAGTAGGGAAAGATATTCAGGAATGGGGAAGAGGGTTAGTAGTAAGAAAGGGGATCAATAAAAGAGAGAAATGAGTGGGTGATAAATGTGATTAAAGTAGAAGATATATTTTCATGAAAATGCCATCAAGTATCTGGAGAGATGGCTCAGTGGTTTAGAGCACTCACTGCTCTTCCAGAAGTCCTTAGTTCAATTCCCAGCTACCACATGGTGGCTCACAAACAGTTGTAATGAGATCTGATGCCCTCTTCAGATGTGTCTGAAGACAGCTACAGTGTACTCAGATAGATAGATGGATAGATAGATAGATAGATAGATAGATAGATAGATAGATGATAGATAGATGATAGTCAGATAGATAGATAGATAGATAGATAGATAGATAGATAGATAGATAGAATTAAAGAAAAGGACCAGGAGTCAAGGCACTTTGGGGGATGTAAACAAAGAAATAAATTAATTATTGAATATAAATTATTATAATGCCATGAAGCCCATCACTTTATACAAGAAATATATGCCATGAAAACAAAAAGGAAAGAGAGCATCTAGCTTCATACTACATTTCTGTAGTTAATAATTATAGACTGTGTGATCTCTTAGAATCTGCCACACATTATATATTAGTTGCATCCAAGATGCTAAACACATCAGAATTAACTCCAGTATAATTTCAACTTACTGAGCTTAAACCCATTAGAATAAAATTCAACCATTTCAATGAAAGTTACTATATTTTATGTAAATACCTTTTCATAATTAAAATCTATTGACACAATTATGGAAATATAATAAAAGTATTTAGCACAAGCTAATATGTACACACACTTTCTCCATACGTGTGTGATAGAGCTCAACAATGAGAACATCTAGCCTTTGATTTCTCTTTGGAATGCTACTGGGTCTTATTCTAATTTATTCAACAAATATATGCTTATTTAGATTAATACTTCTTGTGTATTTTTGTCAGGTCAATTGACCAAGGAATAGATCAACTACAACTAGGTTATTAAGTTGAACACAAAAATGATCATTATTATTTTTTAATAACACATTGAATTCTCTTAAAGTTATATTGACTACAGTGTTACAAAATTTATGAATCTTTTCTTTTTATTGGAATTTTTCTTTATTTATATTTCAAATGTTGTCACCTTTCCTGGGTGCTCTCACCCAGAAACCTCCTATCACATCCCCATCTCTACCTGCATCTATGAGTGTTTTTCCCACCTACCCACCC